GGGGAAGACCCTCTATGAGATGGATTGATTCGGTGACTGGGGTAATCGGGATGGGTGTGTCGGAGGCAGTGTGGTTGGCGCAGGATAGAGAAGGGTTTAGGGCTGTTGTGCATAGGGTGGCTATGAGTCACAAATGACTCGACGGCACATAACAACAACAACAACAATCACATATAGGGTTGCTGTGATGCTAAACACTGTGATACTAATGTGTCAAATACAATAATGGTTATCCATGGTGGACAGTGTTTGGTGGAGCTCCCCAATTAAAACAAGCTTGGAAGCAGGAGTAGCATCCACTTACCAAAAAGTGTGCCTCTGAAAACTCTATGAACTTGGAGAAACAATGAAAGCTTTACAAGTGTTCAGGCCTTTCATTCATAGGGTCACTATGAATCGTCTATGACTGGATGGCACTTAACAATAACAACAACAACCAGGAAGCAGGTTAGGGATGACCTATATGCATGGGAGGGCTTTCCCATGGTGTTACACAGAGTGACCCAGAATGAGAGGCCCAGTAGAGTAGTGGTCACAGAGGGGTTGCGGGGCTAGAAACCATGAATGCATGGCTCGTTTCAAGCAAGTGCAGGAACCAGCACAGTTTGAAACTCTCAAGTTAGTGTTTGTTTTGTGAGTGATTTGTTCACCTATTCATTTCCCCTCTGTACCTGCTGTGAAAGGAAAGTAGGGCTGAATGTGGTAAAGAGGTCATAGCGTTGTGAGTGGAATGCAGTTGATCAGATAGCGTTTACTGGACACAGTAAGAGCTTCACATTTTACTCATGGGAGACATGCTCACAGTCAGTGCTGCTGTGTGGAGAGTGAGCCATGGAGAAGACAGGGGCCGAGGGGAGCTGAGCAAGAGGAGAAAGCCTCTGAGTAGGGCCAACCTAATCATCAACGGTCCCAGGAAATCCTTTTATGACAATGTTTTCTGACTTGGTGCCTAGCTCTAGATGCTGAAGATAACGAATTAGCATTCATTAAAAATACTGATGTCTGAAATGATGCAATACATAAGGACATAATGACTTGAAGAAGGTGACTTGTTTGCCAAGAACCACTTGACAGTACCCCCCAGCAGAGTTGCTTAATGGCCCAGGCACCTCCCAAAAACTTGTGCAAATCCAGTGTGCTCAGTGCCAAAGACTCGAAGCATTTTCAGTAAACAGGATGAAAATATAAGAGATCATCCAAAACAGGCAGTAGAACCTACTGGATCACACCGACTGATTTCTCTCTCTCCAACTGCTTAGGTTAACCTTTATAAGAAACTAGGAGAGATCTTCAGGAATTCTGAGTCAGTGAGATTCTACAATTGTGGGTCTTTTCAGTCATTTGCTATGCTACTGAGCGCTGGACAATGAATAACAATGACAGAAGAAGAATTGATGCCTTTGGAATGTGGTCTGGGAGAAGAGTGCTGAAGATCCCGAGGACTGCCAAAAGAACAACAGATGTGTCTTGGAGAAGGTGCAGCCAGAAAGCTCCTTGGAGGCAAACATGATGAAGCTTCATCTCACATACTTTGGCATGTTGCTAGGAGAGGCTATTCCTTGGAGAGGAACATCATGCTTGGGAAAGAGGAGGGGCGGTTAAGGAGAGGAAAACCCCGAACCAAGAGAATTGACACAGTGACTGCAGCAATAGACTCAACTGTGCCAGAGATGGTGGGGATAACACAGGAGGACAGCATTCAGATCTGTTGTTCATATGGTTGCTATGAGTCATACTTGACTCAACGACACCTAACAGTGACATGGCATTAATGAATATAAAAATGATTTTGCAAAACGTATTTCATTAGATATCAGAGTACTTGATTCACAGAGAAGATGGCATTTGGTAAACATTGATAAATTATTCAATTTTCTACCACTGTTCCAAAACTGTTATGATAAACTTATCTGAAAATATTTTCTTTAAAGACCTAGAAAATAATTTTCTTAAAACTAATTTACTTAAATTCATATTAGAAAAGAAGTGGTTCACAAAGCCTTAGGCTCTGTTTTCAAAATAGAAAAAAAGGAAGAAAGGGA